TGGTAAACTGCAAAGTATTCACTCTACTTTGTAGCTCAATAATGCTCAATTCATCAGTCACCTTTAACTCTTCTGCCTGCTTCTTGATACTTTCCTTAAAGCTTAGCAAGTAAATATTGTCCTTGTTAATGAACTTTGCCCACTAGGTCTTAGTACTCTACTCTATAAAGACGAACTACTGGTGCCTGATAGATAAGTCATTTTTTTACCTTTGCAACATAGTATAAATTGCCTTGCAGAAATTTTTTTATTGGTACCTTCTTGTGAGAATTCACCAGGAAAGAGGTGCTTTGCTAGAATAAGCCAATTCACTTCATCACTAATAAATGAAGATCATCAATTGAAAGCATCATTATATGGCTGTGTAAGTACTCATAGAACATGATGGGGCTAAGGTTAAAGGCTATAAATTACAACTTCTTTGGGGGGAGTAGATCCACACTAGAGTTAATATCCACTATCCTTTTCTCCTAATTAAAGGCCTTCTTTCTCTTTTAATTCCTATAGATTGGCCAGAAATCTCTTAGGAGATGATGATTGTTGGGGACTGAAATATTCACGGCGGTAGAGAGATATAGAGTTTAACATCCAAGTTTTGTACAAAGATCTAGCATACATACAAACAAAAAGAGGGGTGCAAGAGTCATAAGAGAAATCAAGATTTTTAAGTTAAAACTCCTGAAAGTGTAAAAACCATAGGGACTAGTATACTTAAAATGATTCCACTAGTGTTTGTAGTCGATTATAAATGGTGTCCTTCCTCGGGGGAAGGCCTTCACTCAATGTATCATATAGAACACATTACATAGTTGGGGTTGAAAAAATCTAATGATAAGGGAGACATTCTCAAGAGAACGTTGGCCTGCTCATTTGGTTGGCATGATTGTATTTGGCCTACAGTTGTCAGAGGTCGGGTGGACAGTAGTCGCTTGGCGACGGAGGTCGAGGGGACCAGTCGATGAGTGACGGTGGTTAGAGGGATCATGGTAGGCGGGCAACGGAGGTCGGAGGGACCTTAGTCAGTGGATGATGGAGGTCGAAGTGTAGTGACGATGGCAGCCGGGCGGAGGTCTGGTGATGGTCGGCCGAAAGCAAAGGACAGGCGGTGTTAGGAGGCCGAGTGGAAGTCCGATTGCGGTCGGAGGCAGGCTGGAAGTTTGACAGCAGTTAGCAGCAGGGCAGTGGTTCGACGATGGTCAGGTAGAAGTCCAACGACAGTCAACGATGGTTTCCCGGTGAAGGTGCATGGGTGTAGCTTTAAATCCTTGAAGCCAAATAGCACTCTCCAATCTCCAGCTAAAGGTCCAAACTCCAAGCAACTTTCATGTAGATTTTTAAGAGTGGCACACCCTGTAAATGTGGAAAAGAACTGGGGCAAATTCGGAGTGCTCCATCAGATGGTCCATATTGATCCCCACGATCGTAGAGCATTTGACAAACATTTTTGTGCTTAAAGTATGTCAGAATTAAGAGATGTTTGGCTCATTGGATTCACCTCGTCAAATTGATCGATTCAAATATAAGCATGACATATTTAGAGTTCATTTATTCCTCCAATAAAAATTTTGAAGCTTCCAAATATGCTTCGGCCAATTTATTTAGACCCATTTGAGCTCGGATTGAATAGATTTTGGTGTTCATCTCTTTGAAACATTCAGTTTGACTATAACTTTAAGAAAATTGGATGTTGGTTGGTCCAAAATTTAATTTTAGAAGTTGTTAACTTGAATATGCCTCAAGATTCGTGCTCGATCAAGACAATTTTAGGTGACATATCAATTGTCCCTCTATTTATGGACGTTTAATCTAGCATAGTTCATAAATATATTCATAATTTTAGCATTCCATTAAGTTGAAGCATTGATCGAAGCGAAAAATGTTAAAATTTTTGCTCCAAAATTTTAAAATTATTTAAAACTGATTGTAGAGGCTTCGCTGGGTTCTGAAAGTATCAACATTGAATCTGAAACATCAAAAAATGGTACCAAGGACCTTAAAAACATCCGAATATGATCGTGGGTTGAAAATCGAGCCCAGACAGGCATTGGCGGCCGAACCAGATGCAAGCGATTTGCGTGCGCGAGGGACTCATCCAATGGCACATATAGCCTTTTTTTTAATTAAGTAAAAAATTTATTATAAAAATAGAAAAAAAACTTTTTTTTAGAATAATTTTTTGAAAGGAAATAATTAACTTAATTATTTTTAATATTTAATTTTTTTCCATTTTTATTTATTTAAATAAGTAATTTTTGGAATTTTTAATTTTAAAAATCCAAAAAATTTGAAAAAATTCAAGAAAAATATTTCCGAACTTGTCTCCCACTAGATTTATAAATATCCCCCTTGGGGGTGGGGAAGACGCACAAATCTCAAAGACGATATAAAATTTTCTCGCAAATTGATGGAAACACGGTCTGGCAAAAATTTTAAAGTTGTTGACACCTGAAAAAGGCCCAATCCCCTGTGCAGGATCAGATCTTCTCTATGTTGCACCGATACGGATACGGCGACACGGATATGACACGATATGGATACGGGACACGTCAATTTTTAAAAATACAGGATACCAGTACGGCGCGAACACCGCATTATAATTTATAAATCATACATAAAAATTAAGAAAGCAATCAAAGCATAATATTTGAAATTACAAAAAAAATGACAACATCATCATTTGTAGCCTTGTAGCTTATAATTTCAAAATATAAATAAGCATTAAATGTCTAGTACAACATCAAAAGCATAAACATAAATTATCTAGCACATGAAGTTTCAACTATTCAATAGAATGAATGATATAATTATCTTCTTCATTGGTTTGTCTTTGAACTTCTATATCATCTTCAATAAATATCATAGCTTCAATCTTCCTCTAAAGATTGTTTTAAAGGAGTCTTGAGACAGTCAAAAGAAATAAAAGCTCAATCCTCTTATATGGGCTCCAAACTTTCACTAAAGACTATCCTGAAGGAGTCGCAAGACCGTCAATAGTGATAAAGGCCCTGTCCTCCAATGTTGGCTCTGGACTTCCTCTGAAGGTTGTCTTGAAGGAGTTACAAGATCGTCAATAGCAATAAGGCTCAATCTTCCGATGTGGACTCAGGCCTTCTTCCGAAGACTGTCCTTATGGAGTCGCAAGATTGTTAATAGCAATAGAAGCCTGGTCCACTGTGCAGACTCCACTTTATACCTGGTGAGGTAAAAGCTGACCGATAAGAGTGTAAAGACTGTCGGCGATGATCAGATCAGAACATGGTCCTCTGGCACTGGCAGTTGGAGGGTGTGTTGATGATGGTAATCAAGCATGTGGTCAATGATGTCTATCAGGAGGCGAAGGGTCGACGATAGTGATTGAGAGGAAAAGGGCCAACTCTAGTCGTCAGGCTGATGAAGGTGGTGGTTGAATTGTATTATATTAAAGATAGTAGGCATCCATGATTCCCGGGGAGGATAGTGAACAACCCAATAGAGGTGGTTGGGAGGTGTGTCGATGGCAGCAGTGTAACGACACACTAACTGTATAGAGATTAGGATTTACTTTAAACCTTTCTATATTTGTGAGAAGATTTATAATAGATTGTTGCTTGCAAGATTATTTTTGGATAACTAAAATCTTGGAATGGCTTTCTTGATTATAACCATAATCAAATCTACTTCCTATAAAATTAATGCAATAAAAACTGATGGTTAAAATGCGATAGAATAATGTTTGCTCGTTGTTGCGATGAAGTTGCTCTTAATATTGAAGGACTTCCTTTGGACCAGATAATAGATCATGATAAGAGGACTACCATGCTTTAATCTTGCCAAAAACATTGACGTGAACGACCTTTCAAGATTGTAACAAAGATTGCCCCTCAACCAGGAATTATTTTTCACAGACAACATCAAGATGTTGCGGACAAGATCATAAATGACTGTAAAGAGATATATAATTTAGCATCAAAGCTTTGTATGAAGATCCTGTACACATAAAGATAAAATGAGAGGGATGCGAGAGTCATAAGAGACATCAAGATTTTTATGTGGAAACTCCTGAAATGGGTAAAAATAATGAGATCTAGCCCATTTAAAATGATTACATTAGTGTTTGTAGTCAATTACAAATGTGTTCTTCCTCGGGGGAAAGGCCTTGGCTCAATGAATCACATAAAACACATTGTATAGTTGGGGTTCGAAAAATCTAATGATAAGAAAGCCATTATCAAGAAAATGTTGGCATGTTCATTTGGTTGGCAAGACTATATTTGGCCGACGTTAGTCCAAGGGACAGTAACAGCGGGCAACGGTAGTCAGAGGGACCATAGTCAATGGACAATGGAGGTCAGAGTGATCGTAGTCAACAAATGACGTGGTTGGAGGTACCGTAATCGACGGACAACGGAGGTTGGAGGGACCGTAGTTAGCGAGCAACGGTGGTCAGAGGGACTATAGTCGACAAACGACGATGGTTGGAGGGATCAAATTTGGTGGGCGACGAAGGTCGTAGGGACCGTAGTCTGCAAGCGATAGAGGCCAGAGGGACCGTAGTCGGGTGTTTCCTACATGGCTACAAGCACTTTGATGGCCTCACATTTACAACGAAATAGCAATTTTTTTGTTTCTATCTTTATGAAATGTATAAATCTATGGAAAGTTAAAGTTTGAATTGTGTTTCACTCTCTTTTGTTTTATTTTGCTAAGGGATGTTTCTTTTTAGATCTCCATACTAGATTGTACTCATTGTACACTTTTTGCCTTTAATTTAAAATAATGCAAATGCACTTTTCAAGGTTTTCACTGCCCCACTGGCGACTACGACCTTCACCAATTAAATCAACTTATTTTACATTAAAAAAATAAAAAATATGATAATAAATTTTTAAGATATCAAATATTTTTTCTCTAGTATCAAAATACAAATAAAATGAAATGAAAAGAAGAAGAAGAAGAAGAAGAAGAAGAAGAAGCCCAAACAACACATAAGCATTTTGGAGCCATTACTCATGACCACATACTAGCAATTTTCAACAATTATCTTCCACAATTTATTCCATTTCATAGTGCTTCATAAAGCTACAATTGTAAAGCATAAGCAACAAGTCCACATTCAATCGTTTCCACTAATCAACCACTTTAATAAACATTCAATCACGTTGTTCTCATTTCATTAAGTGAAATTCAAATGCCCATCGCATTTTCTTAAATCCATACATGGAAATGAAAGGTTGTAAAATCAAAGGAAATAAAACCACAAAAAACTATTTGGCCAGAAACCAATCAAAAGGTTCTCGAAATTCCATACCTCATTAAATTCTCACGACACGAACTTCAACAATCCCTTGGTTCTCTTCATAAAGCGAACCAAAACCACAACAGCGCAAGCAAGTACCCATGCAGGAAACACCCCCATAGATAACTTCAAATTCTTCAACCAATCCGGAGGATCCTTCATCAAGACTGAGATTACAATACTAATTAACACGACCCCAACCAGGAACTTCGTTATAGGTTTCACCAGCGGATCCTGTAGCAAAAAACATAGCAAACGATCAAATTTACAAATCAATATCCCGAAGACATCACTCATTAAAAAATATATATTTGGTGACCTTGGGCTCGCCGTCGACGAGAACTAGGGACCCGTCGGTGTATGAGAGAATGGATCGGCCGTTTTTACGGTTGAACCGGATTGGAACACCACGGCCAGAGGAATTGAAAGAGTACAGGGTTTGGAAGCCGTACTTTTCGAGGATGTCCTGAACATCGAGGCGGTCCTGATCCCATCCGCCGAGGCTCGTACTGAAAGTGGCGATCGGACCTTTGCCGCGGTTGAAGAGGTGGATTTCCACCTCCGGGACTTTCGTCCTCACAATTCGTCGTCGGGGCTCTGGATTAGGGTTAGGGTCGGGGTTTGGTGGTGGATCGCCGCTAGGCCGTAACTCTTCGATGCTTTCACACGCGTTGACCTCCATTACCAGCTAGGTCACCGAAATTCGGACGCAACGCAGGAGCAATTATTAGGTCCTTTCACTGGATGCAGAGGAAGGTTCGGTTTTAGTCAAAAATAGGTAAAAAGTGCAAATACCGAGTTTTTTGAAAAACTCGGTATTTTTTCAAAAAACTCGGTATTTGCACTTTTTTAGGCAAAACCGAACCTTCCTCTAGGTCCTTGCACCGGACCAAATAAAAACTCCGCAATGCAGAGTAACAGTGACCCGAGCTTTTAATCCTCCGGACATGGCACTCAGCCTCAGCCGTGAGCCCGTGGCAATGAACGAAATTAATTTTGGAATATTTTTTTACTTATTATTTTTTATTTTTTTATTTATTTTTCTACGTCAAAATAAAAGTATTTTAAATTATTTTATTATGGTTCTTAAAATTAAGACAATCTAACACTTATTTTAAACGCTTCCAATCCGAAAAATATTTCAAAATGAAGTGCCACAAGTCTTAAAATTTATTTTAATGTTGATCTAAATTTTATTTAAAAATTTTATAGTTCTCAACTGGAATTATATGGGGAATTCAAAAGCCTCAAAATCATGTTGTATGCAGAGTTAGTCATTTATAGGTATCTAATAGCTTAGAGGGTCACATGATTTTGGAGGCACTCATGAAAAGGTGGAAAATGCAACAAAATCTTTTAAAGTTTTTCTTAAGCACAGACTAGGGCAAGTTCTTTTGATTATTGCCCTTCACCTAAGGTACAAAAATAAATAAAGGCAAAGTCAAAACAACTTTGGAGATGTCATCGCTAGAAATGACATGTGATGTGTTGCAACACACGAGGTGAGCTACTGGGATTAATTTCTTAATCCCCAAGTCAAGTGAAGGGTGTTCTCCCTTCATCAAAATCCTGAGAAGCACAAAAAAGTTCACTTGGATAAGGAGTGTGAAGCCTACTTTCAACGACTCAAATTGCTCCTCTTCTTCATGTTTTTGTTATAAAGTTTGAGAAATGAGAAGACATACAGTTGTACCTAAGTTTTGGGGATAACTCCATCAACTCTGAGTTTACGAAGGGGAAAAGCTTGGGTCAGCTTATTATGTGAGTAATACTCTTTATGGTGCTGAGTAGAGATATCCCATCATGAAAATCTCGCATCAGCGCTAGGGTCCTTACTTGGCAACTAAGACCCTACTTGTAAGCCCTTCCTATCCAGTCCATAACTAACATCACGTCAAGGCAATGATCATGAAGCCATATTACTCTGAAAGATTGGTCAACTGGTCAAATGAATTGGGTGAATTTTAGATCTCCCACACATCATGAACTACCATCAAAGCTCAAGCACTTATTAACTTTATATTAAACATCAATCACCTAACACTGACAAGGAGACTGTAACAAAAGCTAGTTCTTGGCATTATATGTAGATGGGTTATTAGGTGAATATGGGGCTGGAGTATGCATTTTTCTAAGAAGCTTAATTGGAATAATCATCGCTTAGGTTGCCCATATAAATTTCTAAGTCACTAATAATCAACTTGAGTATGAGGCTCTACTCATAGGATTATGATTTGCCACTATGTTGGCCGCCCCACAACACCAGCTTGAACTCTTTATTAGCTGTGTATGATGTGCAAGATGAGACATTACAAAAATAATTCTTCAAAGAAAAGTGCAAATTATGTGTAAAACCTACTAAATTAGGATGAAGTTGCACCTTTTCTAACCAGATTGAAAAGAGGAGACTTAACAAATTTTTGTATTTGGTCTCATCCACATGTGACTGGGAATATTTTATATGCATGTAAAGATCTTCATGTATTATGAAGCAATTCCCTAAGGGTATTTGTGCATGTTTGTGAAATATTGAAATTCCCCCCCAAAAACTATGCAGCATTAAGGTAAGCAATGCCACGATGTTGAGCTCTCTAAAATTTTGGCAATTAACTCATAGTGTGGTGTTGGGGTTGGCGTTGTGACGCGGGCAATTGGGTGTTGCAATGTTTGGCAAAAATTAAATATTCCAATATCAAATTTCCACTAAAGTTCATTCATTTCCTCAAACTAATGTTGTTATATATATATATATATGTATGGAAATTGCAATTTGCATTAGAAAAAAAAGTGATACAAGCAACTAAAGATAGTAATCACATTCCTTCTTCATCAAATAAAATAAAGAAGAAAGAATGCAATTATCAAAAAAGCAATCAAAAGTAAAATTACCATCTAAAGTTATAGTAGCACAACAATCTACTACTTTATTACAATTTCTAGAAATCAAATGAAAGATAACATTATTAAAATCATTAAGGAAAATAATGTCTTTATGCCAATCTTCAAATTGTTGCCATTTCATCTTCTTCAAGGAATCATGAAGCCACTTGATCACATTATGGTTATCTCCTTCAATAATAACTCCTTTGTATTGGAATATCCACCATTGCAAGTGTTCTCTAAGTAAATAAACAGCATGTTGTTCAGGAGACGCAATATCCCAATGTTTAAATTGCTTACCAAAAGCACAAAGGAAACTCCCCTTATGATCTCCAATAAAAACTCCAAGGCCTGCATTATATGAATCCTTTAGTGTAGCATCCACAATGATCTTTATCCAATCTAGGGGAGGAGGACGCCAAATATCAACAAACTCCAATCGGAGATTAGCATCCCAAATTCCTAGAATTAGATTAGTTGACATTTATATAATGGAACTTAATATGTTTGAGACCAAAAAATCAATAGATGAAGTATCCATTCTAAGCTTTATTTGATTTCTCTTTTTCCATGAGAAGTAAACAACTATACAATAAAGTTTAACTATGTTCAAGTTAACTATAGACAATCTTTTCAACTCCTCTAAACACTTAGAGTAGGAATCAATGTAGGAACTTGAAATCCCCATTCATGCAGCTTCTTCATATTTTAAAGCATTTGATTGCAGAAAATAGTCTCCTATGTTGCAAATCTAGATTCATGGTTATAATTTTGATGATAGCAAATATTTTGAACACTTCTATTTTTTTTACTATTGCCCTACCTTTTAATATTTTAAGTTCACAAGGTCAATTTCAAATCAAGTCAGCTCAAGATTGGGTAGATTAAGATTGAGTCAGTCTATAAGTGTACTTCAAGTATTTTTACCTTTTCTTGAGTCAAATGTAACAAAATGGATCATGATGCTAAATAACCTTACATACACACACTTAGAGGGGGAAATTCTATCTTGTTTAGAGTTTTTTATTTTTTATCATATCATCTGAGATGATCCAAAATCATCCAGGACAATCAGTTAAAAATGAAAACCCTAATTAGGGCATCCTTATTAAGATAGCCGAATTAGGCAAATCATCCTGGACGATTTTCACATCGTCCTGGGATGATATGCCCAAATCAGAAATAATCAGCTGCCAACTCTTTTAGGCATGTTATTATTTTTTGACATCATACAGGACATTTTCATGGACGATGCATTACAATTATGCCTAAATTAATCTGATATTAAGAAAAGTAATTAAGATTTGATTGATCTATCATATCATCCTGGACGATTGTATGATCATCCGGGATGATCAATTAAACAAACCTTAGTTTCTTTCTTAATTGTCCGGGTTGAATAAAATGATGTGCTAGATGATATTTATTGATTTGAATTAATCGTACATGACGATGCAAGAATTAGCCTGGATGATTAGTTATTTTTTTATTGTCTAAGATGTAAAGTCTGGATGAGCAGAGCGATGGTGTTGATGATACTTAAGGTTTTGCACTAATCGTACATGACAACGTACTCATCATATTGAAGGATCAAAATAAACGAATCTTTTGCTTGTCCATCCCCACCTAGATCATCTTAGCCGAATGAGCTGAAAATGAACTGATCATTTCATCCTAGATGATCTTTGTCGATTAGTTATAATTTAGGGCAAATTTGAAGCCCTCTATATAAGATCTCTTATTTATTCAAGATTGGATCATTAGTTCTGTCTAGACCTAAGAGAGCCAAGAGAAGAGGGAGAGCTTGGGAGAGAGAGAGAGAGAGAGAGAGAGAGAGAGAGAGAGAGAGAGAGAGAGAGAGAGGATCTTATGAGAAGGAGTTTGTGAGAGTTTCACAAAGGTTACTCCAAGCAAGGATTCTACTCGACTTCTCTAGTCATCGTTCCTAGTTCCTTGGAGGTTCTAGAGAGGTCTACTTTAGCGATTGATCAAGGTTCTTTGCCTGCTTCAGGAAGAAGCGAAAGGAATTGGGTTTTATATCTACTTCAGGAGGAAGCGAAAGGAGTTGAGTTATTTGCCTTACTAGGGTTGATGGAAAGGAGTTTTGTAAAAGTTTCTCCGCCTTACTGTGGGAGCAAAAGGAGAGTCATTGATTTTAGTGCAATACCCGAAAGAGAGACTTTGGGGAGTGGATGTAGGTCAACTTTACCGAATCACAATAATATTTTGTGTGTTCTTTATTATTACATTTCCATATTTAATTTTCGTACTTTATTTTATATGGGTGACTACTGTTTAGTTTAGATTATGATTTCTATTTTAAAATTTTTAAAATACCAATTCACCCCTGTTTTGGTTAGCCTCGGGCTAGTTCATAAGGGTTTAACATCCCTAATAAACTTTTAAGTGGTATTAGAGCGGGATTCATAAAATCTTATTTTTTAAAACTTTTGAATTTCGATCTATGGTTAACTTTGGTAATCGAAATACTGCGAAAGGGTGTTTTATTACCTGATTATCATTATTTTATAATATACTTAATGATTTCTAAAAAGCTCTTATTTCAATGTTTTTATAATCTATTGACTATCGCATGTAGATGTTTTAGTGCAATACACGAAAGAGAGACTTTGGGGAGTGGATGTAGGTCAACTTTACCGAATCACTATAATATTTGGTGTGTTCTTTATTATTGCATTTCCATATTTAATTTTCGTACTTTATTTTACATGGGTGATTATTTAGTTTAGATTATGATTTCTATTTTAAAATTTTTAAAATACCAATTCACCCCCCCTTTTGGTTTGCCTCGGGCTAGTTCATAAGGGTTTAACATCCCTAATAAACTTTCAAGTGGTATCAGAGCGGGATTCATAAAATCTTATTTTTTTAAAACTTTTGAATTTCGATCTATGGTCAACTTTGGTAATCGAAATACTACGAAAGGGTATTTTATTACATGATTATCATTATTTGATAATATACTTAATGATTTCTAAAAAGCTTATATTTCCATGTTTTTATAATCTATTGACTATCGCATGTAGATGTTTGTTAAAGAAAGTTATTCTCCACCATCACATAAAATCAATGGCATAAGAACTAAACTTCCACTAACTGAATGGACTTT